ACCCTTCGATCATGGGTTGTAATAGGAAAATATTTTAAAGTTGGAATAAGACAAAGTAAATAATATTAAGAAATTAGCAAAAGTTGTTATAAAATATATTATAAGGACAAGAGATGTTTCGGTCCACTAAATCTTCTGTCAGCACTTCCTTTGCGATGTTTACCGAGCACCTTTTCGAAGGCCACCTGAATGAACAGCATTTGTAATTTATCAACTTGTTTACCAAAGAATTCAAAAAGTAATCCTAAACTAAGAAGGTTTTTATAGTTGTCCAACAGGACCAACTGGTCTTGCCGGTGCTGCAGGTGAGGATGGTGTGCCAGGAATAGCAGGCAATCCAGGACCTCCCGGTGATGATGGCTATGATGTTGAACTTGCACCGGAGGATGAGCTACCGTGTGTCATTTGTCCGGCAGGACCGCCTGGACCAAGGCAAATTTTTTTCGATATTTAAAATTTTTTTTGCATAGTTATTCGGTAATAAATTTAGGAGATACATCAAAAATTAAATGAAAATACAGTATGAAGTTTTTTTTGTATATAAAGTATTTTTTATATGATAAGTAATGCTGAGCGAAATTAATCAGCTAGACAGGATAAAAGAAGATATCGAAGTAAAATTAATCAGCTAAATAGACCCTAATATTTCGGTTCGAAATTTGTAAAAACTAGGAAGCTGCATTTCGAAGGCATATTCTTCAGCCATTTTTCGTGCACGCATGGTCAAACTGATTATGTGACGCATACTGTTGTTTATTTAACAGGATCATAGGCAAGTTCCGGGATACTAAACTAAATTCGCGGGTTTTTAGGGCAAGCTATTAAACTTACTTTCTGATAACTTCATCGAGTTCATTACTTCCACAAACTCTACATGCACTGCGTTTGTACGTACCAATATTGCCTCAGCGCTGCTACGGTACCCCGAGAATCCAGAACCACCCTCCGCCTCTAACCGTAGACAGACTGGAGCAGAGAAAAGTCTGTCTAGCAGCCTAATTTCGCTTTCTTACAAGGATTCTGCATGAAATTTTTTTTTGTATCTAAGTGCAGACTAATGACAATAACACCATAAAATGTATGATTTTCATCTCTTTTCAGGGGCTTTCAAGGAGAACGTGGAAATGCTGGAGAAACTGGTTCTCGGGGACAACCAGGACCACCAGGCTTGCCAGGAGAAGATGGGCCGCTAGGTGCACCCGGCTCACCCGGACCTCCTGGCCCCAAAGGTAGCAGAGGACTCGCTGGCCAGCCCGGAGATATGGCTATATCTGGCATCGGGATTCAAGGACCGAAAGGACCCCCGGGACCAGCTGGACCTAAAGGGCCCACGGGACCGCGTGGTAAACCGGCAAAAGAAGGCGGTTTTGCAGGAAAGCCAGGTACAATCGGTCCTATCGGACCACCTGGACAAACCGGCAGACAAGGTGACGAAGGTCCCTGGGGACCACCGGGTGAACCAGGTTTGCATTACCCAGGAGTTGTAAATTTGGAAAATTCCGAAAAGTTATTTGCTCAAAACAACGGCTTCAGCAAATATACAGAAAAACACAATCACACAAACACAGAGACAAAAACTCACAAACACACAGGGACATAAAAACGCAAACACACATGACAAAGCTTGCACCTATAAAAACAAGAACACAATCTCGCAAACACACAAGACGTACCCAACTTTCAAGACGCAATGAACCTGTGCTTCTTTGACTTCAAGAAATTATAGATCATCGGTACAGATTTTGGGATGGATTTTTCGCTTTTTAGAGCCGTTTAGGCTAAATCCCCGGCTGACTTTTAGCATATTATTTGTTGGATTGTACCCCTCCAACTCGATTTTTTTTTTTTGTTTTTCCGTAAGCGGATGATTTTCCTGCGTCTGATAGTGAGAGAGCTTTAACTACTCAATTTTTCCTACGACATTTTTTAAGTACTCAAAAGAAAGATTTTAAGCATGCGCGTTTGTCAATGAAGGCTTTCAAGGCAGCGTAAATGTCTGTGTTGAAATTAATCGCACGTTGGTGAATTTTAATGATTTCCAGGTCAGCCGGCAGCTTACTGTCCGTCGGACTGTGGTGTATCGCAAATCTACGCTCCGCCAATACCCAGAGATTATTAAGTTCCAGCCGTCAGCATTGCATTGTGACCTCAGCCACACTTCATTCCACTTCTTGAGTTTCGTATAT